CTCTGACTCCTGTCTGCCATGAAATGAGCCCCTTTGTTCCACCACAAGCCTCCCACCTGTCTCACAATGGGCCCAGAAGCAATGGAGCTAAATGACCATGCACTGAAACTGCAAGTAAAAATACATCCTACCTCCTTTAAATTGTTTGTCTTGGCTATTTTCTCACAATGATGGAAGCCTTACAGAAAATTTGTGCCAAGAGGTGAGACTGTTGTTGTGATTAGAGGCCGTTCGTGTTATGTTCTGGCCCAAAACTTGCCTACAGATTGCCTATGCCTTGAGACTTTGTAGGACCCTTGATTTAAAAGAGACAGATCAATTTATCTGGTGGAGGAAATGTAAATTGTGACATTAGAATTGCTCACTGCTTTCAATCAGATTTACTGGGAGAATTATGAACAAAAAGCAGAGCAGGAAGATTTTAAAAACTTGCAGTTTGGTCAAAAGAGAAGCTATTTATTTTTTTGGTACTGGGGGTCGAACTCAGGCCCTTGCACTTGCAAGGCAGGCAGCAGAACCACTGAGCCAAATCTCCGGCACGAGAGAAGCTATTTAAAATAGGAAAATGTGATTGCTGAAGGAATTAGTGCCATTAAAAAGAAGCCAATTAGCCAGGCATGTGGCACACATCTGTAACCCCAGTACTTGGGTGGCTGAGGTAGGAGAACTGCCAGGAGTTTGCAGACAGCCTGGGCTCCATAGTGATTTCAAGGCAGCCTGAACTACATATTGAGACCCTGCATCAAAAAGAAAAAGAAAGTTGTTTTCCTGTGATTTTTCTCACTATGCTCAGCCATCTAGGCATCCAGAGGCTTCTGCAGCCATGGTCCTAGAGGGCCCAGTTACTACTCTGGCTGGTGGCAGACCTTGGTGTCATACACATGATGTTGATTTTTGAAGGCATGCAGAATGCAGTAATTGTGGGGTCATGGAGGCTTCTACTGAGATTTTTTTTTTAAAGCCTGGGAGGCCAGGCAGTGTGTGTCAGAATTAGAGTCCCTGTAGGCAGCTCCTGAAAGACAGTTCATGAGGTTGTAAGAGTGAAGCTGAATTAGCTGTGGAGCCTCAGAAAGTTAGAGATGCCGGGAATATGGAATATCTGTCAAGGAAATCATGCAATAAATGGAGCCAGATCAAGACAGAAACAGAACATGTAGACTATAGCCAACAAGACCTTAGGTTCAAGGCTGCATAAGCCTTTTGAGGTTCACGTCCTACCAGAATGTGCCCTGGATACTGGACAAGGAACTACAAGATTTAATATTTTCCCTACTGGATTTCAGTCTTGCTTTGATCACTGGCATTCTCCAGTGCTTCCTTTTTGGACTAGAAATGTTTACCCTATTCCAGCATTGCATGTTGAATATATATACCTTGATTTTTTTATTTTTGCTGGGGCTTATTGCTAAGAGCTTGCCTTGAGTATCAGAAGAGACCTTGGACTTGGACTTTTGAGCAATCCTGCAACTATTAAAGACTATCAGGAGTCTTGGAGATGAACTAAATACATTTTGCATTGTAAAATGGTCATGAGCCTTTGGGGGCTAGGGTTGGAATATTATGATTTGAATATGAACTGTCTGCCAAAGGCTTGGTCCCCAGTGCGGCAATATTCAGAGGTGGAATTCTGGGAAAGAGATTAGATCATGAGCGCTCTGATCTCATCAAGGGGTTGATCCATCAACATTTTATAATCTGCTGGGCTATGGGGAGGATGTAAACTGAAGGGGTGAGACACAGTTGGAAGGAATAGATCTTGGGGACTTTCCCTTAGGGGTTATATCTTGTCATTATCCCTCTCACCCACATTCGTATTCGCCCCACTTCTGTCCCCCGCCCCCGCCCCCGCCCCCTCCTGTTTACTATGAGCTAAGTCGCTTTGCTTTACCACATATTCCTCACCACGATGTTCTGCATCACCACAGGCTCAGAAGCAATATAACCAAGTGACCGTGGACTGAAACCTCTAAAACCACGAGTCAAAGATAAATCTTTTCTGGGCTGGGAAGTTAACTCAGTGGCACTGCACTTGCCTTGCAAGTGCAAGGTCCTGAGTTTGATCCCCAGTACTGCGAACAAACAAACCTGCCTTTGCTGCTGGGTGTGGTGGTGCACTTCTGTAATTGTAGCATTTGAGAGGCTGAGGCAGGAGGATTTCTGTGACTTCAAGGCCTGGGCTGCATTGTGAGTTTAAGGCTAGACTGAATTACAAAAAAAGACCCTGTCTCCAAATAAATGAAATTAAAAATTTTTAAATCCTTTTTTCTTTAAGGTATTTTGCTACTGCAACAGAAATCTGACTAACACAGGGCATGCAAATACTCTGTACAGGGCTGTAGGTAGGTGCTCAATGAGAAAAGATATGTGAAAGTGGAAAGAAAATAACTGGGGCTTGACGAAAGCTTAGGCCTCCTTCCTTCTGCACCAATACCTGAAAGGTAGCCACTGTCTTGGTCAGTCAGCTTGGGTCCTTGTTTATTCTTTTTTTTTTTTGCTATTCAGGACATTAAACCTAGGGCTTTCACACTAAACTACACCCTCAGCCCCTTTTTAATATTTTTTTATTTGCTTGTTTATCTGCAGTACTGGGGATTGAACATGGAGACTTTCCACTGAACTACATCCCCAGCTGTTTTTTATGTTTTATTTTAAGACACGATCTCACTAAGTTACCCAGGCTGAGCTTGAACTTGCTATCCTCCTGCCTCAGCCCTTCCAGAGTGCTGGGATTACTGGGTGCAACCACATCCAGTTTATTCTACTCTTTAATGTAGGGATAAAACCACATACTTTTCAGGAAGGGCATGAGGTTTTAGTTAGATAACAGATAAAAACAAAACAAAACAAAAAACCTGTGTCTAGATAACAGATAAAAACTAGGCTTAGCATGGTCACTGAACCAAAATAGGCAACTCCATAGGAGCTCTTCGGGCTATCTAAATGCAGGGTAGATGGATGGGCAGACAGGCAGGTGGGGCACAGATGGCTGAGTGACTGGGAGGACTGCTCACTGGAGAGATGACACGGGCAACATTATTTGGCCTACAGAAATACGAGTCTCTGCAAAACCCAGGTTCTTTCCAAGAGATTTTATTATACCTCCTGTGACCTTAACATAGACAAGCAAAAATAAATATAAACATGCCCGGTTCTAGGTAACTGTGACCTGCCCTTGTTCACTCTAGAGTTTATGACGCATCTCCATGAAACTAGGCCTTGCAGGAGCCAAGGGTTCTCCCGCCGAGATTCTGGCGGTTCCCCGGCACAATGGAGAAAGAAGAGATCAGGGGGAAATGCAAGGAGAGACTCTCCTGGTACACAGGACACCTTGGAAGTCCCAAGCAGTGAGCTGTCATGAAAAGAATTACAACTCAGCTTTTGCCATCATCTCTCACAGTGCTGCGGGAGCAGAGATTCAGGTGAACACCCAGTCCTGCATTTGCTGCAGTTCTATGCTGTGCAACTTGTGTGATAACTTAACCCCTCTGGGCCACTTATTCCTCTTAGTAAAATGAAGAGGTTGGACCCTCCAAGCCCCCAAATGTTCTGATCCTCTGAAGATTCTGTATATCTTTCTTTCATATATGGACACAGAGCTTTGTGAGCAGATGTATTGAATTCCTCCCCCCTCTTCCTCTGGAAAGTCTCCTTAAATTTTTCAAAGTAAGTGTATATCTATGTAATATGTGTTTATGCTACACCCTGGGCAAGTCATATGCTCTGGTGATAGGTAGATCTCAATTCCAGGCTGTGTATAAGAAACTAGGCTCATAGATGATTAAAATAACATTCCGGCCCCACAGGTTATGGATGACAGACTCTGACATACATAAACCTCAATAATCTTGGCAATTAAGAGCGAAAATGTTGGATCCTCCCAGCCCTAAAAATGTTTCCTGGAGGAATTTGGGTTCTCTGGGCTGGGTCAAACCGAAGATGAGTTTGAGTTCACAACCAGGCAAAGGTTACAGGAGAAATAAATGGGGCTGTCTTCGGGGCGATGATGAGATCAGCAGGGCCAGAGCACGGTGACAACCTTACAGTCGAGCTTGGGACACGAAAGGAGCTTGGTTGCATGCCCCCCTTGGATACCAAGATCCTCAGATGATTAAGTCACTTAACTCAAATGGCATAATATTTTCAAACAACCTCTTCATCTCTTCCTATTTTTATTTATTTATTTATTTTTAAATTTTATTTATTTTTTTTTGAGACAGTCTCACTATGTAGTTGCGATTGCCCTGGGACAGCAGCGATCCTCCTGCCTCAGCCTTCCGAGTGCTGGTTTTATAAGTGTGTGCCATGACGCCAGGCTTCCTATCTATTTTAAATTATCTCTAGATTACTTATGATGCCTAAAGCAATGTAAACGTTATGTAAATAGTTGTCATACTGTGTTGTTTAGGAAATGAGGCAAGGGAAAAAAAATCTCTAAATGTTCAGTACAGACCTGATTTTATTTTTATAGTGTTTTCAATAAGCAGTTGGTTGAATCTGGGAATGTGGAACCCATGGATACAGAGAGGCAACTGTATAATTTTCCCATATCCCAGAGGCCAGGGTGGAATAGCCAGATCTAAATACTGGGACAATATTCTAAGAAAAGCAAGGGGGTGATCACAAGTCACCATCTCAGAATTGTCAGCTATTCTTTTTTGTTTGTTTGTTTGGTTTTTGAGACAGGGTCACACTATGTAGTTGAGACTGCCCTGGAACCCACTATGTAGCCCAGGCTGGTCTCAAACTGGCAGGGATCCTCCTGCCTCAGCTTCCCAAGTGTTGGGATTACAGGGGTCTGCCTCCACGCCCTGCTTGTCAATTATTCTTCATTGAGCACTTACTGAATGCAGGCTGCAGGCACTCGATACATATAACAGCAGGGTTTCCCGAAGCGAGCTCTGCAAATCACTGGAGCACACGGGGTAACTTCAGACAGGACACAGAGTGACAGTTTTAATAGTTTTATTTTTATTTTTATGTTTACCTTCTAGATGTGGCAGGTAGCATTTTTTTCATCTACAATTATAAGTTCTTTTTTGATAAATATGAGTTTTAAAAACTGACTCAAACTTAAAGAACAATATTTATTAAGTAAACCTACAGCTGATACACGGACACTGCAGGGCCTGAAGGAGAGATACAATCGCTGATGCTCGGGAAACACGGTGCATGAGAACACAGATGTCCACTTTACTTGTAGCACTTCCAGTTGCAAGTAATAGACACTCATTCCAAGCAGGGGAAGCAAGACAAGGGAAGGTGTCCCGACAAGACAATCTCACGGGACACAACGGAAGGAAGGCACGCAGAGGACAGCCACCCAGCAGGCCCCTGCGAGATCGGTCCCTTCTCCCCTCCACGCTCCCGTTCGCTTCTCTCTGGCTTCTGCTTTGCTCTGCAAATTTTCTCCGTGAGCAAAGCCATTTTGTCTACCACAGTCGTGCCGGTGCGGTACCCCCTGCCCGCGCCCACTCTCCGCACGCACTCACAGCCCAGAGTAAGCGGCCTGCAAAGCCTAAAGCAGCACCTCTGAATCCAGATGCCCACCTCTTATTCTTTCAGCTCCTACTGGAGCACTGAAGGGGCCAAGTTCTGAGAAGAGGGGAGGGCCTGGGATGAGCAGTCCCTCTGACCAAGAGGTGTCTTTCTCAGCCTCTATTACTCGGAACAACCCAGTGAGGTAGTTTTTACCTCAAAGGCAACAACACTGAGAGGTAGAAACTGAGTCCCCAGTTCCTTGGCAGGAAGAGACAAACTCAAGACTGAGCTTGGGTCTGTGTGACACCAAACCTTGAGTACACTGCCCTGGCCACCTGGTCTGGTCACCTTCGGCTAGGGCCAGCTCACAGCTATCCTCTCAGACCCAAGCAGATGACGGGCCTTTAGGAGACATGTGTCAAAATCAGCAGTCCAGTGCCTCCCTGGCAGAGAGAAAACAAGAATCCCAAGTTCATGGGACATTGGCGGGAAGGAAGGAAGAGTTCTGAGGAGCACTGGACACCAGGGAAAGCTCCTCCAATGCCTGAGGCTTCAGGGGTCACACTGCAAATACCTGGCTAAGGGAAAGAGAAGAGTGTCATTTGAATACTTACCAAAAATCACACACAGGTGTCTAGAAGTGCTCAGGAGAAGCTGACACCCGCCAGCCTGTCCCACTGCAACTGTCCCTTCTAGCTCCTGCAAGTTACGATCTCTGCTACCTCTGGGAGCAGAGATCAAGCAGGCTTCTCCCACCCAGAAATCTCAGGCTCTTCCTCGCCCAAGGGCTGTTTCCATGGAACCCTCAGCCCTTTGAGTTGCCCTAGCCTGACCACTCTCAAATTTTGCCGAGGGCACTTTTTGCCCCACAGAAAGTCCTTCCTCAGGGTCTGGTATTAAAGCAGAAAAATGGAGGAGAAGCCGCCTCTCTCCCAGTCCCTCAGAGCTGATCTGGCCTGAAGCAAGTCTTGTGCAAGAAGCAAGCTCCCATCCTAACTTTTGCTCTGTTCATGTTTTCCCTTCTATAGCTGTCTTTCAGGACAGGTTTAATGGCTGAATCAGAAGATTCTACCAGGCCACTTCCACAGGGAAAGACCTGTACCTGTGGGTAGAAAGAGGAAGACACAATCCTAAATCAAACTTCCCCAAAGATCCTTGCACACAGCCAGGGAAGAGTCACTTTCCCACTTGCCTTCGGTGCATGGGAGTCACTGCCCAAAGCCATAGGCTGCTACCCTAGTGGGATGAACTGGGGGTGGCTCAGAATCTGCCCCCAACCCCCATATTCCTCCTAGCCCCATCAGACCCAGGGGCTCAGGGTGAGGTCATAACATGCCCAAAAGTAGATGAAGGTGCTTGTTCAACTTCTGGATTTTCTAGCAGTCCAGCACTGCCATCATCCCCGCCTGCGTGAGGTAGCCTTTATATTTAATAGGCCATCAGTGCCCAGGGAGGAGGTGACTACAGCAGATGTCTCTTCTTCCCCCAGCCTCGACTATGATGCTCATGGAAAAGACTTTGGGCCTGACCCCAACAAGCAGGAACTAAACTTTGAGGGAATTGACAGGAAGGTGGTTGATTGGAATGGCCACATCGGTGCCCGTGTCAGTGGTGACCCGGGAGCATTTCCGGCTGCTGCGCATGACTTGAAGCTTTTCGCTGAGGTGCCTGCGAAACTTCTTGGTGAGGAAACAGTAAATGACGGGGTCTAAGACGCAGTTGGTGCTAAGGAGGCAGAGGGTGACCTGATGTACATCGTTAATAGCCTGGTGGCTGTTGCTGGGCCACTTCCCCAGCTCGGCCAGGGTCCAGGGCAGCTGTACCATGTGGTGGGGCACAAAGCAGATGATGAACACCGCCAAAACCGTGCAGACCATCCACAGAGCCCGGCGCTTGACCTCAGCATTGCGCTGCTGCTGCTGCTGCACTGGCTGGGTGAGCAGCGTGCGGATGATGACCAGGTTGCAGAAGAGGATGAGGAAAAAGACGATGAAGAAGCCAAGCACGATGCAGATGTGGATGATGAGGACGGGCTTGCTGCCTTTCTTGTAATGCTCAAAGCAGCGAGTGATGGTGCCTGAGCCCGCCTTATTAGACACCACATTGGTGGATGTCATGAAAAGGAAGTAGGAGGCAGCGGCCACAATGGTCACCCAGATGACCAAGGACAAAGCGATGCCACGCTTGCGCGTGGTTGCCTGAGCCGTCTTGATGGGATGTCTCACCGCCTGGAAGCGGTTATAAGTGATCACTCCCAGGAAGGCCACAGAGCAGTAGGTGTTGATGAAGAAGAGGCAGCCAGCCAGGTTACAAAGGAATTTGGGTAGAATCCAGTCGCCCTGGTTGGAGTAGTAGACGATCCACAGTGGCAGGGTGACAAGGAAGAGCAGGTCAGCCACAGTGAGGTTCACCATGAAGATCTTTATCTCATTTAGTTTCTTGGAAGGGTACAGGCGGGCAAAGACCCACAGCACATAGCCATTGGCCGTGATCCCTAGCACAAAGGTAATGCTATAAACAATTGGGAAGAGAGTGTACCGGAACTCTGAGTCCACACGGGAAGAGTCATTTAACTCCATGGCTCTGGGCTGCAAGAGTCAGCTGGTCATAGGGGCCTGGCAGTGCCTGGAAGACCATGCGAAGATTCCGATTAATAAAAAGCCAAGAAGCAACTGTCCTACTTCACCAATTCCAAGATTCCCTACTGTGGTTTGAATGTTAGAGTTCCCCCTCAAAAATATTCACGTCGGAACTTAATCCCCACCACGAAAGTATTCAGAGATATGATCCTTGGGAAGTGATGAAGATAGAGCCCTCAGAGATAGGATCAGTACCCATATAAAAGGGCTTGGGGTTGAAGAGTGCATTTTGTTTTTATCTTTTGTCTCCCCCCCACCCTTAAGTTTATTGGTACATTTAAAGCAAACAATACAGTTGTATTTATCATTGGGATATTGTACCCTTACGTGACATGTCTTGGTTCTCATGTTATCTTTTGTCTTACTATCCTTTCTACCAAGTAAGGACACAGAGTTCAAGACGCCATCTTGGAAGCAGTTACCATGGCCTCCAGACACTGAATCCTGATTTTGAACTTCTAGAATGGTGAGAAATAAATTTGTGTTCTTTGTAAATTACCCGGTCTCAAGTATTTTGTAAAAACAGTGAGTCAGGAGATGAGGGCCTGGCTAGTTGGCTGGGCAAGTGAGCATGACCTGTCAGTCACAGAGCTCCAGGACACAGAGCTCCTGCACCTGAAACCAATCAGAAAATGCTACCTTCAATGCTTCTGGCATGAAATCAAGCAAGTTTTTGATAGGACATTCCAGATCTGACGTCAGAATGAAGAATACAAAAGATGACAGGCATTGACCTTGGGGCCCATTCCCCTGGCACAGTGTACTACTTTTCCGCTTTAACTGGCTTGCGTTCACTGCACAGTGTATTTCTTTTCCCACCTTTAATAAATGTAAAAGTCACTACTATGTTTGCTTGTTTTTGTCCAATTCTTTGTTCAGGACAAGAACCTGGAAAGAGTCTGAAGATGGAGCCCACTGAATTCCAGAACTCCGGTAACAGCAGAATTAACAGACTGAGACACTCCCATTTTTAATATTTTTAAGACTCTAAAATCAATAGTATCTTCTGCTTTAAAAAAAATAGTATCTTCTGCTTAACTTGTAGCTTTTTTCCTCCTTTCTACATAAAATAATGTTTTTACAGAAATATTTCTAGTGATAAATGAATAAAATTTGTATTATAAAAACTAGTTTTTATGATAAAATTTGAACATTTTTCTATAGATGTGAACTTTAAAAACTAATAGTAGGGCTGGGATTTAGCTCAGTGGCACCATGGCTTCCTCACAAGCACAAGGTTCTGAGTTCATTCCTGGGTACCATTTTTTAAAAAAACTTAATAGTAAATTTGTTCTATATTAAAAAATAATTTAGGGCCAGGGATTAGCTCAGTGGTGCCGCCTCCCACCTGGCAAACACAAGGTCTTAAATTCAATGCCAGGTACCAAACAAACAAACAAAAATTCAGCTGGGTGTGGCGGTAGACACCTATAATTCCAGCACTCAAGAGGCTGAGGCAGGAGTTTTGCTGCAAGTTTGAGGCCAACCTTGGCTACATTGTGAGTTCAAGGCCAGCCTGGACTGCATAATGTGTTCCTGTCTCAAAAAATAAAAATAAAAATTAATTTAGCCAGGCATGGTGGTGCACACCTGTAATCCCAGCACTTGGGAAGCAGGAGGACGGTCACAAGTTCGAGGCCAGCCTGAGCTACATAGTGAGTTCACGGTTAGCCTGAACTGTCTGGTGGGACTCTGTCTCAAAAAACAAAAACAAGGGCTGGGGATTTAGCTCAGTGGTTCCTCCACCTGCCTCTCAAGTGCAAGGTCCTGAGTTCAATCCCCAGTAGCAAATAATAATAATAATAATAGCTAATTTAAGATCTGGAACTCAGTGGTAGTGCTCTTGCCTAGCATACACAAGGCCCTGTGTTCAAGTCCCAGCACCATAAGTGAATTAATACATATATATACATACACACACACACACACACACATATACACACACACACACACATAAAATAAAGTTGCACACAATTTCAATGCGGCTAGTAGGTCCAACTAGCCCAGCCCTAAATTAACTCAAAATAAATAATTTAGATGCTCATGAAAAGCCTGGAAATACAGAGAAGTGTACTATCAGAATTATTTGCAGAATGAAACATTAGCCAGACATTAAAAGAATGAGTTAGGTCTAAGACTACTGACATGGAAAGCTGTCCTTGGATAGCACTATTATGTAAAAAAAAAAAAGAAAAAGAAACAAAAAGTTACAGAAGATGTTTGGTATGAGTTAATTACATATGTGTGTATGAATGGGTTGGCAGTGGTAAGGAGCCCCTGAGAAGTAAGCTTAATAAGAGGTTTATTTCCAGTCCAAAAATGAGCATCTGAAATGAAAAGACACTTCTCAGATGAAGTAGAAATGGCAAATGAATATGTGAAAAAACGTTCAACATCACTGGTCATTTGTGAAATGCCAATTAAAACAGCGCTGAGATTCCATCTCATTCCAGAAAGAATGGCTGCTATCAAGAAATCAACCAATAACAAATGCTGGTGAGGCTGTGGGGAAAAAGGAACGCTGCTCCACTGTTGGTGGGAGTGCAGACTGGGTGCAGTCACTGTGGAAATCAGTGCGGAGATTTCTAAAAAACTAAAGCTAGAGGTTCCATTTGACCCAGGTACACCTCTTCTTGGGTATCTTCCCAAAAGAATTAAAAGCATCCTACCACAGCAATATATACATACCCATGTTTATAGTGGAACAGTTTCTAATGCTAAATCTTAGAAACAGCCCAAATGCCCATCAACTGATAAATGGATAAGGAAGATGTGGGTTTTTTAATACAATGGAGTACTACTCTGCCATAAAGAAGGGTGGACTTTTTAGCAGACATTATCATATTTTTTTAGCAGACACTTATAAGCTAAATTGATGGACCTTGAGACCATATTCTTAAGTGAAATAAATCGGACACACATGTTTAAATGCTGTATTGTTTCTCTGGTGTGAGAAACTGGAAGTGGAAATAAGGATTAAAATGTAGAATAGATATTGGGAAATGCGAAGAAAATGTTCAAAGGGGAAGGGGAACAAGGGAAGGGGAAGGGAAAAAGGAAGGAAGGGGCAAGAAAAAAGTGAAAATAGAAGGAAAAATGGAAACAAAGCTTTTGTACACCAGAGGGAGGGGATAAAATAAAATTTAAATTAAAAATTAGAGGTTTATTTAATTTATCTATTATAAAAAAGCTTAGTGAGAAGTTTATTGGCTCTAAATAAACTTTTGTTTGAACTTTTCAGGAGCACTTATCTTAGCAATTTATTGTTTTATTTCTATCTATGTATATATTTTTGCAGTGCTGGGGGCATTGAATGCAGGGCTTTTGTTCTGAGCTACAATCTCAGCCTTTTTTTTTTTTTTTTTTTTTTTTTTTTGTGGTGCCAGGGATTGAACTCGGCACCTTGCGCTTGTACAGCAGACAACGGAACCACTGAGCTAAACCCCTGGCCCTCCTTTTTAAACTTTTTAAGAACTTTGACACAAGGTCTCATGAAGTTGCTAAGTTTCTCGGGTTGGGTTGGAACTTGCAATTTGTCTGCCTCAGCCTTATCTCTCTCTCTCTATCTCTCTCTCTCTCTTTCCTTATTGCTGTATTGAAGATTGAACCCTGGGCCTTATATATGGTAGGAATGTACTCTACCATTGAGCTGCATCCCCAGCTTTTTATTTTTATTTTATTTTGCAACAGGTTCTGACTAAGTGGCCCAGACTGGCCTCAAATCTGTGATCCTTCCCCTTTGGCCTCTCAGGTAGCTATGATACATACATACATACATACATATATACATACATACATACACACACACACACACACACACACACCATTGTGCCTGGGTAATTTAAATATTTTAAATACAATTTAAAAGAGTATGAAGGGAGAAATCCAGATAAAATTTTAACCAAATCATCAGGATGAACATCTCATTAATAAGACATATCATGTTCCCCTAATATAACATGTAACATGCTGAAAAAAAAATACAACATCACTTGAGTATTCTTGCCCCAAACACATAATCTGAATTCAATTGTGAAAAATATCCTACAAGACTACAGGCATAGCTCAGTCCTGCCAAATCCGAGGACCTGGGTTTCATCACAGCACCACCAACAAAAAGGACCAGGCATGTAGCTCAGTTCTAAGGATCTGTGTTGAATTTAAAAAAAAAAAAAAAAAAAAAAAAGTTGGTACACGCCTGTAATCCCAGCACTAAGGAGGCTGAGGCAGGAGGATCACCATCAGTCTGAGGCCAGTCTGGGCTACATAGTGAGTCCAAGGCCAACCTGAACTACATAATGAGACCCTGTCTCAAAAAACAAACAACAAAAAAAACAAAACATAGCACAACATATTAAATGCAGACACAGATGAGAATCCAGCTGTCTTCTATCAAGCCTAACACTAAAGAGGTTTATAGACAATGTAAATAAATGCCACTTTTCTCTAAATAGTTTGTTTTAGAAAATCTCATTTTTTCCCTAAAAATGTTATTTATGTTAAGATGAAAAGAATCTATCTTTGGATTTGTTTGTTTAAAAATGAAGTTATTTTAGAATGCCAGTCATACTTTTTTTTTTTCAAGGCTGGAAATGAAACTCAGGATAGAGCAAGCACTCTATCACTTAGCTTATATCCTCAGCCCTAGTGGTGTTTTTATTTTTTGAGGAGATTAATTGTTTGTTTTTGTGGTACTAAGTATTGAACCTAGGGGTGCTCTATACCTGAGCTATAGAGCCAGCCTTTTTTTTTTTTTTTTTTTCTGGTACCAGGGATTGAACTCAGAACCTTGCTCTTGTTAGGCAGGTATGATACCACTGAGCTACATCTCTGGCCCTATTTTTTAAAATTTTGAAAAAGGGCCAGGAATTTAGCCCAGTGGTTCCACCGCCTGTCTCAAAAGTGCAAGAACCCGAGTTCGATCCCTGGTACCAACAAAAATACAAAATTGAAACAGCATCTTGTTAAATTGCTCAGAATGAGCAT